GGCCCCATCAGGGGGGGGGCCCCCAACTACTACTATAGTTGCTACTGTTGCTGCTGCTGCTCCTGCTTCTGCTGCTGTTGCTGCTCCCTTTTTAGTCTTGTTTAGATAATAAAAAAAGAATAATAAAGTTTTAATTCTTCTTTGTTTATTCATTAGTCTTTCTTGCATGCACGAAGCAGCAAGAAGGGCCCCCTTTCTTAGGTAGCAGACATATACACCTAAGGGGGGGGCCCCCTAGGGGTGTTACTAGCTGCCTATACACCCGGAAGCATAGCAGCAATTAAACCCTGAGGGTTTGTGTCTTTGTTGTTTGTATTCTTTATCTTCCATCGCTTATTCACGATGGGCCTCCAAACCCTAAACCCTAAACCCTAAACCCTAAACCCTAATCTTCTGTGGGGCCCCCAATAGGGTTTGCTGCAGTGGCCCCACAGAAGAGATAAGGAGGGCTTGGGGGCCCCCAATGATTAACATCAGCAGCTGCACAGCAGCACAACGAGGATGCAGCAGCAGCAGCAGCCACAGCAGCATTCGCCCCAGCAGCACTCACCGCAGCAACAGCAGCAGCAACAGCAGCAGCAACAGCAGCAGCAGCAGCAGCAGAAGCAGCAGAAGCAGCAGAAGCAGCAGCAAATAGTGCAGCAGGAGATAGCGTGGCTAAATAGGGAGCTAGAGAAGGGCCCAGCAGCAGCAGCAGATATATGCAACCTGCCTATACACCCTAATGTAATAATGCCTCCTGCTGTTCTTCTTGATGGTTTTCTTTCCCTTAATATAAATAATAATAATAATAATAATATAAATAATAATATAAATAATAATATAAATATAAATAATAATAATATAAATAATAATATAATTAGTAAGGAGGTAATAACAAAGAAAAAAACAAAAGAAGAAGAAGGAGGAACATTTACAGGACCAGCTACTATACAAGTAAGCATAAGGGCTCCTTGCTGCTGCTGCTGCTGCTGCTGCTGCTGCACCTATTGCTGTTGCTGCTGTTGCTACTACTGCTCTCCTGGTACAGTTGCTGCTATTGCTGCTGCTGCTGCTGTTGTTGTTGTTGCTGCTGCTGCAGGAGTTTATTGAACTACGTCGGCGTCTTGCTGCTGCACCACCAGAGGGGCCCCCTGGGGGGGCCCTTCGTGCTGCAGCAGGGGCCCCTATTGATGTATTAGGTCAACGTTTGCAGCAAGTACTGTCTTTGCATGCAAAAAGGAAGAAAGAACGTAATGAGCAAGCAAGGAGGGAAGCAGCAGCAGAAAAAGCAGCAAAAGAAGCAGCAGAAGCAGCAGCAGCAGCAGCTGCTGCTGCTGCTGCTGCTGCAGGAGGTACTGCTGAGCAAGCAGGAGGGCACGGACAACCTCCACAGGGACACCAACAGGGGCCCTATGGGGCCCCTCCAATGCATCTAAATCTGCAGCAGCAGCAGCAACAGCAGCAGCAGCAGCAGCAGGGGCCACCACCCTATGGTTGGGGAGGAGGAGAGGGTGGGCCCCCACAACCGTACTACGGCAGCAGCAGCAGCAGCAGCAGCAGCAGCAGCAACTACAACAACTATGGAGGTAACTACAGCAGCAGCAACAGCAACAACTACAATGGTGGCAATAATTACAACGGCAGCAACTACAGCAGCAGCAGCAGCAGCAGCAACTACAGCAGCAACTACAGCCGCGACTACAGCAGCAGCAGCAACTACAGCCGCGACTTCAGCCGCGACTACAGCAGCAGCAGCAGCAGCAGCAGCAGCAGCAGCAACTACAGCAGCAGCAGCAACTATAACAGCAGGTATCAATTGGATGTAGGAGACTACGATGTTCCCCCTCCTGCTGCATATACATTAGACAGCAGCAGCAGCAGCAGCAGCAGCAGCAGCAGCAGCAGCGACTGGGGGGGCCCCTTCCCTTGGGATAAAGAGGTCGATCGTATTAACAAACAAATCTTCAAAAATAAATCCTTCAGGCCTATGCAGGTAAATAAATAAATACCTAGCTAGCTAGCTAGCTAGCTAGCTAGCTAGCTAGCTAGCTAGGTAGGTAGCTAGCTAGCTAAGAATAAATCCTCCAGACCTATGCTATGGTAAATTATTAGCTAACTAATTAGCTAGCTAGCTAGCTAGCTAGCTAACTAGCTAAGGGATTTATGCTTAGCTAGCTAGCTAGATAGCTAGCTAGCTAGCTAGCTAGCTATATTGATAGATAGCTAGGTAGCTAGCTAGGTCTTAATAAGGATTTACCAATAATAAATAAATAAATTAAATAAATATATTTATTTATATTTATATATGTATATGTATACAGAGGGAGGCAATAAATGCATTATTAAGTAATAAAGATGTATTTATAGACTAAATAAATAAATAAACTAAATAAATAAACAAATAGAAAATAAATAAATAAATAAATAAATAAATAAATAAATAAATAAATAAATAAATAAATAAATAAATATATTTGTGTGTATACAGAGGGAGGCAATAAATGCATTATTAAGTAATAAGGATGTATTTATAGTTATGCCAACAGGAGGAGGAAAAAGTCTTTGTTTTCAATTACCTGCTGTATTAAAGAATAGAGGATTTGCAGCTGTAGTTATGCCCTTATTGTCCCTTATGCAGGTATGTACTTTTTTTCTTTCTTTTCTTTTTTTTTATTATCTTTTTCCTTATTTTATTATCTTTTTTTGTATATTATTGTATAGTTTATTATCCTTTATTATTTTATCTAAAAAGTTGTTGTTTTTAATTACTAACTGTATTCAAAAAAAGAGGATTTGCAGCTGTAGTTATGCCCGTATTGTCCCTTATGCAGGTATGTACGTTTTTTTTTTTATTCTTTTTTTATTTAGTTTATTTATTATCCTTTTTCTTATTTTATTTTATTTTATTATATTGTTTTTTATCCTTTATTATTTTATCTAAAAGGTTCTTGTTTTTAATTACTAACTGTATTCAAAAAAAGAGGATTTGCAACAGTAGTTATGCCCATATTGTCCCTTATGCAGGTATGTACGTTTTTTTTTTTTATTCTTTTTTTATTTAGTTTATTTATTATCCTTTTTCTTATTTTATTTTATTTTATTGTATAGTTTATTATCCTTTATTATTTTATATAAAAAGTTTTTTTTTTCTATTACTATTTGTTATAAAAAAAAAGAGGGTTTGCTGCTACCTTTACTCTCTCTTATTTAGGTATTTTTTTCTGTACTTTTTTTCTTTTTCTTCTTTTTTTTATTATCCTTTTTTTGTTTATTTTATTATCTTTTTTTTTTGTATATTATTAATATATTATAATATATTATTATTATATATTATTGTATTTAATTGCCAGCTGTATCCAGGTAGGTACTTTTTTATTTTTTTTCTTTTTTTTATTCTTTTTTATTATTTTTTATTATCTTTTATTATTATTGTTTATTATAAATTATTATTATGTTTTATTAATACTGCCTCTGCTGCTGCTGCTGCTGCTGCTGCTGCTGCTGCTGCTGCTGCTGCTGCTGCTGCTGCTGCTATAGGATCAAATGGATCAGCTGCAGGCGTTGGGTATTGAATGTCGCGCCTTTACATCTAATCAGACTTGGGAGGAACAACGACAAGTTTATGATGACCTGTGGGGCCCCTCCTCTTGCTGCTGCTGCTGCTGCTGCTGCTGCTGCTGCTGCTTCTGCTGCTGGTACTGCTGTTTTGTTGTTTGTTAATCAGGGTTTAGGGTTTAGTATTTATAAAATATCTTAAAAAATATAAATTTTAAAATTTTAGGGTTTAGGGTTTAGGGTTTAGGGTTTAGGGTTTAGGGTTTAGGGTTTATGTGCAGGCGTGATGAATGTCGTGAGGTTCGTATATTATTTGTGACACCAGAGAAGTTACGCAGCAGCAAATTGTTGCGCTGCACTCTGCATGCAGCAAATAAGGAGGGACGTTTGTCTCTTTTTGCTGTTGATGAGGCACATTGTGTCTCTCATTGGGGAAGAGACTTCCGTCCTGATTACTTCTATCTACATTCTCTTAGAGATGGTACACAACAAGGGTTTAGGGTTTAGGGTTTAGGGTTTAGGGTTTAGGGTTTAGGGTTTAGGGTTTAGGGTTTGGGGAGTAGAGTATATCTTTTGATGTTTAGGGTTTAGGGTTTAGGGTTTATGATTTGAGATATAAGTTTAGATATTTGACGTTTAATGATATATTATATTTAGGGAATTAGGGTTTAGGGTTTAGGGTTTAGGGTTTAGGGTTTATGCATGCATGCAGAGTATCCAAATGTACCAATAATGGCATTAACAGCAACAGCAACAATTGCAGCAATTGAGGACATAAAAAAAAAATTAAAAATGAATAATCCTGTTCTTTTTCATCGTTCTTTTGATAGGCCCAACCTCAGGTAATTAGGGTTTAGGGTTTAGGGTTTAGGGTTTAGGGTTTAGGGTTTAGGGTTTAGGGTTTTGATATAAAAAAAAAATTAAAAATGAATAATCCTGTTCTTTTTCATCGTTCTTTTGATAGGCCTAATCTAAGGTAATTAGGGTTTAGGGTTTAGGGTTTAGGGTTTAGGGTTTAGGGTTTAGACATAAACCTTTTTGTCTGCTTTTTTGTCCCTTGCTGTCTTTTCTTCTTCTATTTCTTCTCTCTTCTTGTTCTTTCTCCTTGCTGTCCCTTCTTATACATATTATTTATTTATTTATTTATTTATTTATTTATTTAATTTAATTAATTTATTTAATTAATTAATTTATTTATTTATATATACAGATACGAAGTCTTACCTAAACAAAGACTACGCGCAGTACAACAAGTTGTAGATATTATTAATAGTAGATTCAAGGGTTTATCAGGAATTGTATACTGGTAAACCCTAAACCCTAAACCCTAAACCCTAATTGTAGATTCAAGGGTTTATCAGGAATTGTATACTGGTAAATCCTAAACCCTAAACCCTAAACCATAAACCCTAAACCCTAATTGTAGATTCAAGGGTTTATCAGGAATTGTATACTGGTAAACC